ACTAAGAGAAAAATTTAATTAAAAATCGAATTCAAAGTTTATTTGTGCGTCCCAAGCCTCAGGCGCGAAGATGCCGGAGTGGGAGTCGCCGTTACCGATAAAAATCTGTTCACGCTCCCATAAAAAGTTATCACTTCAAAAAAACAACACTTGCAGTTCGAAACAAGCATTTTAAGACATGTTTCCACATGACATCCTTTCGTATTGAATTTGTGTCTGGAATGAATGAAACAACAGCAATCTTGAAAAACGAAAGTAATTTAAGTATAAAATCTGTTTTTTTTTTCAGGCGGACTTGCATTACAGAGAAAATTACTCATAAACACCACGCACTGTAAAATACCAGATCTAGAACCCTTCAACAATGACGTGCTGGCTTTCGTAACGAGAGAACCATACGAACCATGCTCCGATAAGCCACTGTTGACGTACACTGAAAGAACTACCGATGGTGGAGTGAAAATAAAAGTGAACCAATCCGCCATTGGTTTTTACAGCAGTTTCCCGGTAAAATGTTGCTACTCGCGCGTGCTAAGGCGGGATGGGGACTCCAGTGTGACGTAAGACAGTTTCTCATGCGCACCAATCAGGTAGTTAATTTGAGCATTTCAGGCACAGCGAATGCGAAGACTTCCAACTGGAAGCGACGCTCACGGTTCCAAGCATTCGAGTGACTTGCCGCACAATTTTTGGAGTGGTTTACCAAAATGTCCATGCTGTGATAATTGCCAAAGACTTGGCAAGAGATTTTCCGCAAACCACCGAGAAAAAATGGAAAGTCGTGCTGTTGGGTTTTGACAGCATTTCCAGGCTGAACCTGCAACGTTCAATGCCTCGAGTTTTCGCCCATTTAGAAAGGAATTTTATCGGTTTGAAGGGATTCAACAAAATTGAGGACAACACGTTTCCCAACCTCATGGCCACCTTAACTGGCCGGAGTATGCACACTTTGGAGCCGGACTGCACACGGAACGCGTCCTTCGATAAATGTGATATTATTTGGAGAGACTTCAGCGACAACGGATTCCTCACCGCCTATGGAGAGGATGAGCCATACCTCAACACCTTTAACTTCTGCAAAAAAGGATTTTTGCGCCCGCCCACCACTGTGTATTTGCGGCCGTACTTTATCTCCGCATACCTGCTGCCAATGATTTACAAGCACACCATGGGCGTGTGTACGGGGCCGGAAAACACTGCGGCCCGCATGTTCAATGCGGCCATCGACATGCTCTCTACATTCAAGGATCGTAACTTGTTCCTCGTTTATTGGCTGAACAGCTTCAGTCACGACAACGTGAACTTTCCCTCCACCATGGATGGAAAAGTGCTGGAATTCCTGCACCATCCCACCATCACGGAGGCGATCGAGGATTCGATTTTCTTTATTTTCAGCGACCACGGGTTTCGCTTCGGGGATATTCGATTTACGTATTCCGGCTGGTTGGAAGAACGCCTGCCCTTTCTCTACGTCAATTTTCCCAAGCTTTTCAAGCGCGACTATCCAGAGTTGGTGGCGAATTTCCAATTCAATGCACAGCATCGTCTGATCACTCCCTATGACTTTCACATGACTCTTCAGAATCTTTTAAAGCTCTCCAATAGTAGTTTTAGCGTTAAGCCTAGTCTAGGATGCCCCAAGTGCAAATCACTGTTCGAGTTGGTCGACAAAGAGCGAACCTGTGAAGATGCAGGTATTCCTCAGCATTGGTGCACCTGCCAGGGTTATTCCCGGTTATCCCCCCAAAGCCCCGAGGCGGTCAAAGTGGGGTACTTTGTGATCGAAGAAGTCAACCGGTTGATCAGCGGGTTTAGCGAAGCACACAAGTGTGCGACGTACGAACTGAACGCTGTTGAAACTGTTGGCCGCTCTGATTCTGTGGAAGGAACCGACTTCAAAGGATACTTGATATTAGTGCGGAGTTATCCTTATGCGATGTTTGAGGCCACGGTAGCCAGGAAAGGCGGAGGCTTCGAGCTTTTAGGGCAAATTAGCCGACTGAACCGATATGGGGCCTACAGCAGCTGCATTGATCACGACGTGCTGAGGAAGTACTGCTTTTGCGACCAATGGTCAACGAAAGTCTTCAGCCGCATTTGCTACTTGTTTAAGTGCCCGATTCTTTGAAAATATACTCACGTTGTTATTCACGCTCAAGAACCATTATTTGGTGTATTTTGTAAAAAGGCAAAAACTTAGCTATTCACATCCTAATACCATTCGATAGGTAATTAAAAATTGCATTTCCTGGTAAGCTAAAAAATATGGGGTTGTATTTAAATTAATCAACTTATAGCCACTTAAAGTTCTTATTTGATTAGTTTAAATTTGTGGACACCCTGTATAACACGGTAAGTTTATTATCATTGGGATATAAAATATGATTTCTTGTTACACTACACTACGAATTACGTTTACATAACTTAAATAATTCTAAAGTATTTCACACATGAAAATAATATTAGATTTTGATAAAATTCGAATTATTTAAAAAGCCTTTAGATTTAGACATCATAAATCTTATTAAAACAAACACTTATTTTGCTCAGAGAATCCAAAAATGCAATAATATACAGGACATTCCATTTAAAATACTTTTAGGGCTTTTGGGACACACTGTACATTACAAAAATATTTTTAAAATGTGCACAAAACAAACGGGCTATCCGCAAACGTCCGTGCCGTATAGCGTGAATAACCCTGTATGTATAATAAGTGCATGCGTGTACTTATACAATTTTCGAACTTTGTGGCTCTAATTAAATTGGCTTTATTTTTCTATATGGTGAGTTTTTCATTGAAACGTAACAAATGGACGTTGAATCGAGTGTGCTGACACCCGAATAAGAGCGCGCCACTTCAAAAAGACGATTTGCGAGATTACCATCCGGTATTTACAGCCATTCATACGTTGTTAGTAGAGTAAGTGTCTAACCGGTTAATTTTTCTATACGGATGTGTACGCCATAAAACGAGCTTTTTGTACAGTTGGCGACACATAAAAGTAGACGACTCCTAAAGACGATTTTTCGCGATTTTGGTAAATCAGGTTTCGCGAAATACGTCAAGCACCTGTATCTACGATTTTGCACAAACTTGCTTTAATTTGACAATTTTAATTAATCTTTTTATAAATCGCGCTATTCGGTTTTCCAAGTCTCCAAGTTCCAGCTACTGTTTTATTCGAGTTTTTTCAAATAATTTTGAATGTATCATTTTGATAACTGGAAAATTTTTTGTCAGTATTCTGTCATTTACACAAAGGTAGATCGACGTAGAAAATTAGATTTACACAACTATTTAATCATCTATTTTTATGTGACGCCGACTGTACAAGCAGTGAATTTGTAAAATGACAAGAATTTGTGTCAGTGTCAGTTTATAGTTGCCATGGAGGTCGAAATCAGGGGCGGGTCCAGCTTTAAATTCAGGGGGGGTTATGTAGAAAAAATACAGTCTTCTGTTGTTAAGGAAATTAAAAAAATATCGTCGTTTTCTGCAAGGGTGGCGTAAGATTATTGCGAAATTTTATGTTTTCCGTCCCGTTTTGCATGTTTCTCGGAAGCAAAATCAGCAAGAACGCTCGTTTTTACATCATTCCAAAGAGAACTAAATGGCCTTTTTAGAAAGTGAACCATCGATAAGGAAATGTTG